TTCTCAGTGACGTACTGATGAAAGTCACTCTGCATATTAAATATAAAAATTGACATCAATATATATACATATCATAAATATATTCACTATTAATATATATTATTCATATTAAATAATTTACAAAAGTTCGTTCGGCCCTTTCCTCCACCCACACATCCGGATCCGACTCATCTTCTTTCTTCCTGACATGAGTTTCTTGAAAACCTCCGGTTCAATGGGAGTGCGTCCCAATTCTTTTCTTATAAATAAAAACTGAAATTTATAACGATATATATGAATCAATTAATTATTTTATTTAAAAAGTTTGAATTAGAACTTACCATCTCTCGTGCAATTGTTCCAACCGTCTTTGCACCTCCGGTATGCAACGAGCCACCTTTAAGACTGCCTCTAGCCTTTTTGGCTTGATATGATATTGCCTTAAACTTGTATGTTTTCCAATATTGATCCAATTCATCAAAAACATGAGGCAACATCCAACCGAGACGTTCACCACTATCCTGAACTTTCTTTAGCCAGCTAGACAGTCTGGCGGATGCCTTCCTCTCAAATGTGGTCCCAATGGCCAAATTGTACCTTGACTCCCAAGTACACATAGTCTGGAAAAAAATTGAATAACGTTAATTAGATCGATAAGTAAAAAAAGTAAAGTCTACTAAACTTAACTAAAAATATATACCTTAAAGTTATTAAATATCGCATGGCGTATATTGTTTGGAATCTCGCTCCAAGAGTGATAAGCATGTGTATAGAGTCTTCTAACACAGTCTTTTAAAGCTCGGGCAGCATCCTTTGCAGGATGCCACTTGCAAACACATAATAAATATGTTAGTTCATGAATAATATATTAAAGTATAAGAAATAAATAAAATAAACTAACAAATAGATAACAAAACAAACTTACGATGATCCATCCGGCTCAATCATGACTCTACCAAGTCTGTCCTTCTGGCAAAGAGCTAGAGCAGGCATCGTATCATCTGGTGTAGCACTAGGTGTAGCTGTAGATGAGGGTGATACATCAGGATGCACAAAACGCTGAGTCAATAGTAGGCGTAACCGGCCATAACATCTGACTGCTCGCTACTAGAATCTCCAAGCCTCATGGCAAATAACTGAGGAGATGTACCTGTGGGAGATGGAGTACTTGCTGATAAGGATCGTGCTCGACGAATAGCCTCTAAAGGTAGGTCCTCATAGTGTCGTGAAGGCAATGCATGTAAAGTAGATGAAGCACCGACTGGTCGATAGTAATTAGGATAATATTGCTGAGGATCCGCCGTACCAAACGGAACAACAAATAAATGAGTATCATGGTTGATGCACTCTGGGGCAGAAGAAATAGATCCTGCAATATCCTCAGGATCTATCGGTCTCCTAGACTTCTTCTTCTTTGCATGTTTAGTCTGGCTAACTCCAAGATGCTCGCGATGCCTATTACCGTCACCGCCTGATGACATCTGTATGCAAATTTACATGTATAATATATATAAAAATAATAAATTAAATAAAATTAGCAAAATACACTTACATATATATACTAGCTAGCTTTCATTCTACACTATTCCTCCTCGCTTGTTTCAATTCTATCATCCTCTCATTCTTCCTCCTCAGTTGTTTCATTTTCATTATCGTCCCATTCTTCGTCATCAAATGATTCATTTTTCTCATTCTCGGATATTTTTTCCTCAACATTCAGTATCTCAACATCAGATACTTCTTCTAATATGTGTTGAGGATGTTGTAGTGTGGTTTCCAATTCAACATCAACTTGTTGTTGAACAATTGCAACATCATTTTGTATGCCTCATCTAAGACATTGTAAATTTCAATTCTTTCCACATGTTTACTTTTTATAACAACCCACCAATCAACTTTGTCTCTACGCAATGGATATGGAGCGTAATACACTTGTTTAGCATTTTGTGCAATAATAAAAGGATCATAACTTCTATATTTCCTGGTGTGCTTAATTTCAATTATATTATGTTGATGGTCCACATTTGTGCCTCTATGTGATGGTTCTAACCACTCACACCAAACCAATACAATTTTCTTCTTAGGCCAACCTGAATACCTCACTTCAATAATCTCTTGAAGGACACCATAATATTTAATAGTTTGACCAGTACCATCAACATCACCTTGTATATAGACACCGCTATTATTTGTTTTCTTGTTCCTAGA